TCCCAACCCCCCCCCCCCCCCCCCCACACACACACACACACACACACACTCTCTCTCTCTCTCTCTCTTTTCATAAATCTTATTTTATGTGAGTATATGAAATTTGACTCCGGGAGTCAGATTTTCATGTTACACCAGAACTTTTACTTGAGAAGTGAAAGTTATAGTTTTCAAGGGCTGAATTGGGGAAAAAGAACTCTAGCTTTGCAAGATATGTATACACACAATACATAACTGGGAAATTTGTAATGCACAGTTTACTTTTAATGCACAAAAAATGGCAGACATCTAAACCCTTTAGAATTTTTTTTTTGAGGGAAAGATATCCTTTGTCTTTCCTTACCTGATGTACAGGAAAGTGAGAAATGAACTCTTCATGATTAGGAGACCTGATTGCCTTGGCTATTTCCATGGAACATGCTAACGTCTGCCAAGGCTCATCTGAAGATCGCCACCATTTTTTGCCCTAATTTGCCATAAAAAAGCAATGTCGATTTAATACTTACTGATAATGAATTTGATCACATTCTTCATTGCATTAATTATCATAACAAAATAAAATCATTTTAATCAATCATTAAAATTTCTAAAAATATACCAAGTTTTCACCAAATTTCGAGCATGCACACATATTATTCTATCAAATATCAATTCTTAATTTTGCTTTGCGAAAAATGTTGGAATTGTTACAAGAATAACTTTCCACAGAATATCGCAGATACACACAGAAAAAGACCGTCATTTGTAGAAGCATTCTTCTTGTGGACAAATTTACCTCCAGAGGGTAATCTGCAGAGTCAAGTATCTCCGGCAGCAGCTCATTTGCATAAATAAGTCTCTCCTTCAAAGAGGACCTGAAACAGCACAATGCAAATGATCTTAGCCAACTATCAGACCAAATTTTCAGCCATTAAGTCACAGACAAACCTTCAGTCTTTAAAATGCTCGTTTTTTTTTTTCCTGAAAACTCCTCTTTCCCTTTGACCTTTTCTTAAACCCGTCGTATTTATAAGACTTTTCAGTCTTTAAAATGCTTAATTTTTTTCCCCGAAAACTCCCTTTTCCCTGTTACCTTTTCTTAAACCCTGTCGTATTGATAAGATGTATCTTCAGCCAGTCCAGACCCCGAGGACCCAGGGGCTTCCCTGTGCCAAACATCAGCAGACCCCTTGTAAGGTCACTGCCTGGAAATCACGAATTTGACAAAAGTTAATTTCTTTAAAAAATAATATTTCATCTTAAAGATGTTGATCAGTTGTGAAATATACTTGATGAAAATGTTATGCCTATTACACTGTGATAACATAATTGGTGTTAAGTGTGCTCTGCAGTAGGAGGAGACATACACTTGCACCATAAGTGACCTAAATACTGGATATATATAATTAACCCCTGCTCCTCTCATCACGGGGTTTGGGGGGTATAAGACACCAACCTTTTTAGCTGGGAAAAAAGTCCACTCTGGGTAAAATTTTATCTACGTACATAAAGGTTTCATGGTTAAAGGTCCACTTTTCAGAAAAAGAGCCCCCCCCCCTCCCCCTTGAAATTACGGGCCTGCTCATTTCACACTGACCAAAATGCACAGAAAATAATTGCTAATGACTGGAAACAATTGGTTTTAAATTATTTATTTTTACGCCCCTGGAAAGTGATGATTTCTAATGACTGGAAACAACTGGTTTTAAATTATTTATTTTTACATAACTTTTATGTACAGATCATACCCATGTGCTGTAAGAATGGCGCCACAGTATAGACACGGCTCCTGAAGTCCATGTTATGGGGGAGCCAGAATACGTCATTACGAAACTAAAACAAAAAATTTAATGCCTATGAGATCAAAATGAAATATATGCTAATTATAACTTAGCTACTTACATAAGGAATGATATTTTCATCTCACTCTCAAGGCGAATCTGATTTTCATTTATTCCCTTTGATAGAAAGTTAACCTAAGCAACATTTTGGCATGTATTTTTAAGTTAGAGTCAAGTAGTCATAAATTCAATATGGCTGTGTATGCTATCTTAAGCCTAGGTCCCAAATACGTTTTGTACGCATGGTTTTTAGGTACCTTGCGTCCGGCTAGGACTTAGCTAGATTGCAGGGAAGGAATCAAGTAATTGTTGATAAGTTTCTACGTGCTGTTTGCGTCCTCCAAAAGTGGCACGATGGACGTGCTCCTCACGCACAAACTCCCATGTTTTCCCCATGTTTTTGGCCTTAGACCACACGTAGCAGCCCCTACGTTCGGTTGGGACCAAGGCTTTAGAAATATCAATTTCCCTTTATGAAACACAATCTGATAAAGAGGCTCACCATGTTTGCCATGGACAGCCTGTAGAGTTCCGTGCACCACAAGCTGTAGTTCTCACTCTGTTCCTTCACCATCTTTTCTCTCTTTTGAAAGGCCTCTCTGCGATCTCGTTTGCTCATGGTTCTGGAACGAAGAAGAAGACAGGAGTGGATAGAAATATGTCCGTCCACAGAAAATGGAACTTAAAAAAAAAAAAAGATTAAAGGGATAATAACTCTTCGTTTCTGCCAAAAAATTAATTTTCTTGGAGTAAACAACAATTTTTCCATACTTACCAATGGTTAATGAATCCATTTTTATATTCAAAGTTAGTCCCTGGTTTTTTTCTAAAAAGTTTGGTTTTTTTGTTAAAATCTCTTAAGAGATTTTAACAGAGTATAGCCATCAGTGGAGGTCACGTGGTCTAAAGACAAGCTCAGATATCAGAATAATAGCTATAACTGCTGTTCTTGTTGTAAAACAGAATATATTATATTTCTTTGAGTTATTCACAATGTTTTTATTGTGAAATATAGATCTCATACGAAGAGTTATCATCCCTTTAATGTTAGAGATGACCAAATCATCGTAAATTTATCATGAGTAATGAAGTTCAACAAAAGCACATTTTTCTTATTCTATGAGAGCATTTAGAACAAATTGATCAGGGAACTTAGACCCCATTTCCAGAGATTAGATCGACCTACTTTAGATCGACCTAACTCCCTGGGGGTTCACGCTAAATAGCGGTCAGCCGAGCGAACACGAAAGTTAATTACCCCCTTACAGCTTGTAGTAGGCGGGATGGACATTTAAGCCGGATTATCTGACAGTAATCTAGTGAGACTCCCCGCGGGGATAGATCGATCTAAAAGCTCTGGGAATACAGCCTTACAGATCCCAAGATCAAATATGGCGGACTCACTTAAAAGGTAGCCGTTTATAATCCCCTGATGGTCACCCCGCCTCCACACGTGCCGTTGATGCAGAGGCTTAGCAATTAAACCATGGGATGAGATTTAATCCATTTAATGGCTCGTGTGGAGGCAGTGAGACCATAAGGAGATTAAGTGACTTCCTTTTATAATGGGTCAGCCATATTTAGTCCGTGGATCATCTGTTCTGAATGTGGACTATCATGACCCTAAAAGATTACAAGAGATCAGGTGTCAATGATCTTGGGACATTTATTTCTTTATGTTCTGCATGCTTACTTGTCAATCTTAGGTAATGGGGGATAAGAAGAGGGTAAATATGGAATATCCAGTGTCATGTCCCCTTTCTCCCGAAAGATTTTAAGAGCCAGGTCCAAAATCTGAAACGGGGAAAAAAAATGGCATCACAACCTCAGTACACTATATAAAACAAGATAAAGTTCTAGTTGTATGTGATTTCTTTCTGTATTTTCATTTTAATGAAAATAAAAATAAAAATTTGCATGCTGTACTTGCATACACATCTTTTACATTGAACTGTTTTAATATCTTAAAAATTTAACAGTCCATATATTTATTTACATTGCACTACACATTTTAATATCTTAATATATTAACTATTTATTTATTGACTTTTTTCTTCGTATTCTGTTCACTTTACCCAAGTAAAGTCTACTGAACATTTTATATGGATTTTAGACTACAAAATAAATATTACTATATTATTATTACTGTCATGCCTGTACTTAACATATTCCATTCATTATAATGTATAATTTGTTTAAACACATACACCCCATTTCCATAGATTAGATCGACCTACTTTAGATCGACCTAACTCCCTGGGGGTTCACGCTAAATAGCTGTCAGCCGGGCGGACACGAAAGTTAATTACCCCTTATAGCTTTCTAGTAGGCGGGGACGGACACTTAAGGGGGATTATCTGACAGTAATCTAGTGAGACTCCCCGCGGTGATAGATCGATCTAAAGTTGTGGGAATAGACCCATAGTTTCTTTAAGGAACATAAAGGTAAGTAGGATCTTATATATATTATATATATTAAACCTATCAAAACACTGGGATGCCATGCATCAGTGGAGTCTGCATACACAGACTGTCGGGGCAATCCAGGACTTCATTATCTTTAAATAAATTATCTCATTAGAGAATTTATAAAGGATTGCTATATTACCATCCTGACAATTATTTCTAAATCACAATTGTTTAGAAAAAGAAGAAAAAGACTACTCCCTGAAAAAAAATGAAAAAGGTTTAAGAAACTTCAGTCTGTTGAAAGTAATGGGGGCGGTTTGACAAATTAAAACAGCCATTACCTGCTAACTGGTTTAAACTTTCTAACCAAAAATGCTTCTCTATTTTGACGCGAGATAATTCAGTACTACCTAGTTTGATAAATGGTATATTGCACCCGTTTTAAAACAAGACAGGCACTGAACCAAAGTGGACCAAATTTTGAGTCTAATAAGAAATTAGACCAATTACAATAGCCATTCTGTAATAATGATACAAGGTAACAATTTTCATAATATTAAAATAATAATATTTTAGTCTAAACAATGATTGAATTTAACTGTATTACAGCCCACTGTCCAAGACAAAAACACTCAAGTTTTTTTCACATCATACGAAGGGCATTTTATGCTTCCTGTGAACATTCTTCTATTTTTTTGAGGTCGTGACTTACTGGCTCGTTAATCTTCCAGGAACATGCCCCAAGAGCAGTGAGAGTGTCCAAGGAAGGCAACATTTCTGAGGACGGCCGAGCCTGTATTCTTTTGTCCACTGGCCTCGAGTCATTTGATCGGACCAAATTTACTGAAAAAAAAAAGGCCCGTTAAATCCATCTATCTGTAGTTTAACCAAAATTTGCTGAAAAAATTGATAAACCCGTTTTAAGTTAATCACCCCCTGCTGAAAATGGGCAAAAGAGAGGTTTTCGCATATGACAAACATAACAAATATGAATTACGAAAAAATGTGTTGAACCTCGCAAGACAGAGCTTCGTTGTGCTTGTGAACATACGGGTACATAAATACCATAATGATGCAATTACTGACCAATAAACACTTCAAAAAGCGAGATGGAATTAAGGGACTGAACACTGGCTCTCAAAGTGAAACAAAATAATAATAATAAACAGGCCAATATTATGCCACATGAATGCATCAAGATTATATCACTATGATTGTCCTCGATTCCCATCAAAGTTGACCTTGACCTTGACCTCAATACTGTACCTTGGTCATGAATCATTCCCCCGGATTTGGTACTCGTCCAAGGTAAAGGAGGAACCAACATTGGCAATTTGAAGGTATCAAAATGCATTTTATAGCCCTGTCTGAATAGCCTTGTAAGATTTTCATCGGCCTGAAATAGTGTCAAGTTCAAGGTCTTTAGGTACAGGTTGAATTAACACACATGTAGTTCCTTTCCACTGAACATAAAAGTGAACAAAAAGCTT